AAGATGAATGTTTATATCATGACCTTATATACTAATATACACTCTGCAGTTGGTATGGAAGCTAAAACCTAATCTGGAAAAAGAATATTTAGTTAGTTTGCAGAGTCATCATCTTGGAAGAGGTCCCTGACCCTAACCCTAACCCTAACCTGACGCAGAAGAGGTGGCATGATATAACTAACCCTTCTTCCCCCTAAAAAAATACTATTTGAAATATAGATCTCATCTTTCCTCTCTGTATTTGATTTTGAGGCATAAGATTAAATCCAAGATTAGGCAAAAATATATGTGCATGAAATGTATCTCAATAAAAAGCAAACAAGCGCACAGCATGTGTGAACAATACCAGAATTCAGAATTCCAGATCTGAAACATGTTTACTCACACTGTATCATACGGTCATATTTTGGGATGACAGTTAGTTTTTTTATTAGCAACAGAGAGAAAAATGTCCTTTGTATTTTCCTAATATGTTTCCACTTTCAATGAAAACCAGATTTGTTAACCAACACAGAACAAAGTTGTCGTGGAATCCCAAGGACAGCCAGCAGTATAACATTAAAACAAACAGGATCCATCCATTTCTGATGGAGCCATACTTGTTAGGTTATGTAATGGGTACAATAAAAAACAGAAACAAATGGGCTGACTTATTGAAACATTTTAGTGGCCTTAATATTACATTTGGGCTAAAGAAGGGGTCCACAAAGAAATGTCTTCACAAACGCTGACCAAATAGACACACCTCTACTAAACATGTGGAACAGGGGATATGTCTGCTTCTCCCCCCAAAACCGTCAAAGTACATGCGTTATCCTCAGGCATCTCCCGCTATGTAACAATTAGAAGTTTGCTCAGAACATGAAGACACATGAGACGTGTTTAGTGAAGGTCACAAGCAATTACCCAGCCTGGTAAAAGCTGGCATGTCTCACATGGCACCACTGTACGCCCTCATTAGGCGTGCTCTGCAGCTCAGAGTGGGTCTCGTGGCTATAAAAGAACTGAGCTCGCTGCCTCCCAAGCCTCAGAACCTCACCAGCAGGAGCACAAAGAAACTACACATCGCCACCTCTGGATCAGATAGGAGTGGACAAACCTTTTTTTAGTAGAGGAGGGGGGCTACCTGACCGTGGAATCGTTTCTTAACAGGTTGGGCTTGGGTTGCTTTCAACAGGATAAACATTGATTCCCCTTCCTAATGAGCAACACAGGGTTATTACAATTTAGTCTAAATTTGAAACTTTAAGTTAATGTATTGGGTTTAACATTACAAAAATATCACCAATATAAGATCATAGCTTCTTTAAATGTCTGTATTCGGTTTACTATTCGGATCCTTATGGGAATATAAGGAGCTGGAGGCTTTTTTCTGACCTCGTGTGCTAAATACACACAATCTGGACACTATCTAATAATTCCCATACTGACCACTGCGATCACTAAACTCATAAACACTAAACATAGGCACACAAAAAAGGTCTTCAGTAAAACACTAGGGTTCACCCAGTTGTAGAAGAGAATTAAAACCATGACAAAAATAAATACACATTCTGTTTTTGTCATAAATGGGGAAGACACATTTATAAGAACATGATAAGAGATACATAATGTCCACATTGATGCACAATTGTAATACAAATAGTTATACACCTAATATGTATACTTGTTGTCCTTATGCCAGGTATAGGCTTTGATTGTATTTTGTGTATACAGACAGACAGACAGACAGACAGACAGACAGACAGACAGAGAGACAGACATACACACACACGCACACACGCACGCGCGCGCGCGCTCAGCCGCAGTGACTAGAACTTTTAAATTCGCCTTAACACTTTAAAGACAAAGCACACTTGGGGGAGTGAATCCTTTGATGACACTTAAAACCAACATCAATATTTACCGACGGGGGTCGTCGCACCTTGCGGGCGTCAGGTGTAGATCGGATGACTTAACTCGTGTCTCCTCTGAAAGCGATTTGGGAGGAAATGCTTCATCAAAAACGTTGAAGACCGGCGTCTGTTTGTGGACTAATAATAATCTTACTGAACTGAATAAACAATAACATAAATATAAATAATACATATATTCGGGATGATCAGGCATATTGAAACCAGTGAAAGGCCTAAACAGCGGCTGACTTACATTGAGGTCTTTTAATATACATTTACCATTTAATTAAATTAATTGAAATTCAAGATTGCTATATACAGATAATGGTGAATTGTTCTTGTATCAAAATTATTACAATATACCAGTTGGAATTATATGATCCCTTCATTCTAAAAATCTATTTGGAAACATACAGTGTCATTACATAATATGATTGATATAGAGAAACAGTAATCGATGGTATACTACGTGACACGATTCCATCCCTCATTTCACCAGCAACAGTAATTCACTTAAAAACGTAAAGACATATGACTTTAAGTGAGTGATCGTAATTAATCAAAACAAACTCAATAATAAGCATTTATCTACGACAGGTTATTACTGGGAAATCAATCATTTAATGTACTGTTCAGCTTTTAAATATCCTTCTAACACTTCGTGCTGTCGTGTGCACGATGACTTTAATTCATAAGTCCCACGAGAAGTCGTTTTAAGATAAAGATCTGTGAGAGTGTTAGGTTTGTGTTTAGACCTCTGATCAAATGGCACCTCGGTGATAAAAGAAAGAATTGTGTAGTTATAAAATAAGTCAGTGCATAATAATAATAATAATAACTGTTGAGTTGGCGTTAGTGTTTATACTGCAGTATTTATGTGGGCAAATATTGTATGAAAAAACGTTGAATCCTGGAAACTGTGAAGAGCCGTTTAAGATTGTTTTTGTTTTGTCACACAAGCTAACAAAGTGACGGTTAAAGAGTCGCACCTGATAACAATTAAGACTGGTGCAGCGTCTAATGTTTACGGAGATGATTGTATCAAACGTTATTATATATTAATCTCGTTTTTCACTCGATATATTTACATTTCAAAAATAAAAGGCCAGAGTTAGGGTCAGGCCACCAGTATTGCATTGGCTTTACTTATACGGATCTCTGCTGTTTATCTAACCTGCCTATTTAAACTGTAGAAAACCCAATCTGCTGCCGCGCATATTTTGGCTTTTAATATATTCTAAATAGTCTGAATTTAAGCGATAAACTTATATTTTATTAGTAACAATACGTTTAGAGACTGTGTGCATTTGAATATATCATCCATCTTGTAAAGGAGAAGATGATACAAAACAAAAATAAAAGTAATGCAAATTCAATAGGTAGCCTACTAGCATGATATATAGCGAGACGTTTCAGTTTTGCATGAATTTTTAGTTTCCAGAATGTTTAAACTATTTCAGGTCTAAAAACAGAAATATCGTTCGTTAAGTGCAATTCCATTAAATTTGAAAATGGTTACAGCCAACAATAAATTATAACGACCAACCAAAACATGTTAAAATGAACTATTACATGTGTAACAGTTAGGGGTACAATACAGGACGTATTTGATAACGTTTCTGAGTTAATAAAGCAGACTCGTTGAGAAAAACTATAAAACAAAAAGATACATTTAAGCGAAAATTCACCACCTTCTCAATATATTGATGTCAATTTTAAATGCAAGTGGGAAAGGTACTTTATTTTCTAGTGACATTTTCAGAGATACTTTTACCTTCCCCGAGAAGTCCTACATTTCAAAAAGGTTGTGTGTGCTGAGAGAAGCCTGCAGTTCCTCTGGTGTCCAGATGAGGGGGGTCCTGCCAGCTAAGGGAGAAACAGAACAATGTGCAGTGAGTCAGACAGCAGTGGCACTGACATCTTAAATATCACTTGTTTCCACAATTATTCATACTCAGCATCAGCAAAATATGAAGTTACATCCATTTAGCCACCACAACCCTGCAATGTGCATGCAAATACAGCATATAAATAAGAAATATATGAATGCTATCCAGACATCAATAGCAAATTGAGGCGATCTTCTTCAGCTTCTCTGACCAGACCTGATGCTTTCCATGTGTCCTACTCCCAGACCTGGATGGTGAAGTGGCCATGAGACACAGAAGAGAGGGTGGAGGTGGAGGTGGTGGGGGATAAGGACACTGCACCTTGTTACCATCGGGTCGACTGTTAAGTTTTACAAGTAACGTTTTGCGAGCATATAAATGATACCTTCTAAACTTGCACAGGAAACTCCGAAAACATGCTGTGATAATGCATGTCTCTGGCATCCAGTCGATATGCCATAGTCTGGGCTCTACAGAGGTATCGATTACATGAGCCCCTCCATGTTTGATGCTCTAACACTGCCTTATAAAAACTTTCCACTTTGCTCTCAAACTACTCCTTCAGCTTCAACACAGCTCAACTATGGAAAACAATGCAGACAAAAAGAGTAGGCCTATGTTCAATACAATTATTTAAATAGAATAGTCAATCAGATATTTGCACATCCCATCGACAGGTGGATACTTTCAGGTGATTCTACTTTTATAATCAAACCGATGCACTAAAACATGTGTTTCCAATATAAAACGCAAACAATTCCAGGAAGTGTTCCCGTCCACTGTCATCCAAATGCAAAACTATATGGTGTATAAGTCCTCACCAGAAGACTGCATGTTGGATGGAACGTTTCCCTTTCTGTTACTTCCCTTGTGCAAAAATATTCAAGGAGGCTGCACTGCTCCGACCGGGTGGGGTTTGCATTGGCTGACAGCGTTCCCAGCTCGGGACGAACCAATGAAAGCAGAGCAGAGGCTCGGCGTATAACAGCGAAGATTGACGTGGAGGACGCGTCAAATTAATTTCAGCAAACGACGGACTCCCCGGGATAACTCCAATTTGCTTTTATCGGATGAAGATCACTTCGGTGCCATTCTACCTTGCGGTCACTTGTTTCCAAAAAAAGAAGAAGGGGGCGCGCTGCACTCGGAGGAGATTTTAAAGAGGTCTATTTTTCCTCTTGCGGGGCTCATTCCTCCCGTTCCCCTTCCTTCTCTTGCCTTCTCCCGGACGCATTCAGCCATTTGAAGGGGCACCTATATTCCCTGGCATCTCGAGACGTATAGGCAAATGGGTAAGCCCGCGTTACCATCTGCATGCTTCACTGGCAGGGAGCTTATGGAAGCGTATCCACACTCACCACGCCCGCGTAAAGACAGAAATGTTCCTTTTTTTCCCTCTTCAACTGCAGATAATTTGCAAATCAAGAGTGTCTTTTTTTTTGCACGACAACTTGTCAAGTTTACTCCATGGTGGATTTTTCCGGCTCTATTCAGCAGGCATTGTTTAAAGCTTTAAATCTTTAAATGGAACCACACCACCAATTATCCCATGGAGTGAGTCTTTGAAGAGCTCTCGAGTGTCAAATCCTCAACTTCGCCATGTTTATGTTGTATTTTTTGTTGTGTATGCGGGGCTGGCGGAGAAAAATCTGAGTCAAATTGTTAAAAAAAAAAACGTTTATAAAGTTGCAAAATAGCCTTTGAGGTTAGCTGTCTGTGTAGGCTGACACATGTTATGGGATAGAACTCTGTAACCTCAATTTGTGGTGAAAATTACAGGAGCTGTATGGCCTGTGTCCGCAGCCTGAACATTTTGTCTTTTAACAATAAATACATATAATTATTCTAAGAAATTATATTTTGTGGCAGAGGAAGTGCATCAACATGACAACATGATAATAGTACATTGTAACATGTCAGAAATGCATGTGTAGGCTACTCACTTCATGCAGAGTAAATATGTCTTTTGTGCCTCCATTCTCCTGCAGAGCAAAACTATGGAGAGGTGAACCAGCTTGGCGGTGTGTTCGTCAATGGGCGACCCCTGCCCAATGCCATACGGCTAAGAATAGTGGAGTTGGCCCAGCTGGGGATAAGACCCTGCGATATAAGCCGGCAACTCCGAGTCTCCCACGGCTGCGTGAGCAAGATTCTGGCGAGGTACAACGAGACGGGTTCCATCTTACCCGGTGCCATCGGTGGAAGCAAACCGAGAGTCACGACGCCGAACGTGGTGAAAAATATCAGGGATTACAAACAAGGAGACCCCGGGATCTTTGCATGGGAGATCCGGGACAGGCTTTTGGCAGATGGAGTTTGTGACAAGTACAATGTCCCGTCGGTTAGCTCGATCAGCAGGATTTTACGCAACAAGATTGGAAATCTCTCCCAGCCCAACCAGTATGAGAGCAGTAAACAAGGCTCCGCGCAGGCCGGGCTCTCCTACAACCACATTTACCCGTATTCCTACCCCAACGCCATGTCGCCCACTAGCGCTAAAATGGGCAACCATCATGGAGTACCGATGACGGCTGGACATATGAGCATATCCCGGGCCTGGCCCTCCGCACACACCGTCAGCAACATCCTCGGTATTCGAGCCTTTATGGATTCTTCAGGTGAGGAAAACAATCACGTTATGCCCTGTGAGAAAGGCCTCTGTGTTTTCACACAACAGCTTTAATAAACCCGAACAGCTAGTTATTGTTGTGTTCTCCAGCATGATGAATTGCAACATTACTCTGCACAACTCGTTCTGGAAACTGGCGGGGCAATGTGTCCATTACAAGTGGCACAGGCCTCCGTTTCACCATTCAGCCAGAAAGCAGTAAGGCCACTCACAATAGGCCTTTTCATGGGATGATGCATTTGCAAACACCTTGCTCACCTGCTTTATCCCCACTAATCCCTCAAGTAGTCATTACTGCCATTTCTCTTTGCCTTTCTGGTCCTTCGGTCATTGTTAGTGTTAAGTCAGCTCGACGACATAATTGTATTTGCAAGACAATTTTACGTGATGCAATATAGGGCTTTATTGACAAGACAGTATAAACAATTGTTAACATATAGAATTAAATTAGGGAAACATATTTATAATAATATATATAATATGTATTTGTCGTTTCCTTCGTTTTTCTGTGTTTTGTTTTTTATTTGATTTGTTTCACTCAATATAGACTCAAATATTACATCACACCTTTTTATAAACAATTACGGACTTTACTATAATGATAATTTCGTTATTTCATGATGTCATTGTTTAAATAACTCTCAATTATATTATTTTTGATAAGCCTGCTGTTTTGAAAATGAAATACATTTTAAAGCCCAATTTCTTTTTGTCCAATTTATTATAGGCTAAACAGAAAAAAAGACAAAGCCTATGTGACATTCATGTAACTAAATAAAAAATAACTTACGAGTAAATAATTACAAATATTGATAATTTAATTTACTTAACACATTATAAAGGAATGGAACCCCACTTTTTTGTAGCATTTCTTTTTTTACCTTTAAACATTTTTGACATGCACTGACTGTTTCTAATTCAGCCATTGCTGGGACGGACGGATATGCACAGAAAATGGAGGACTGGAGCTGCGTCAACAGAGCAGCTTTCCCCGCGGCTCACTCTGTCAACGGGATTGACAAAACAGCCATTGACACTGACATAAAATACGCTCAGGTAACATGCATGTGTACATAATGTAACGTGTATGCATCAAGTAGGCTACTCTGTATTCATATCGCCATAGTATTTTCTTAAAAGGAATGATTCTAATTGTTTAGTGCCAAAATGAGCAGGTAGCCTATTTAGTAAAGTAGTGCTCTCGCTCCAAAGGCCTGTGGCATGGATGTGAAAAGTTGTCATATCAGGGACCCTGAACAGAGTCATGTAATGCCACAGAGGGCTCTGCTTAATCAGATTGTACCCCTGAGACTCCACAGAGTATTATTACTGTTGATTAAGTGTGCTGTTTTAGGAATGAGACGGACTGACATCTGTGTATACTCCAATTAGTCTTATATGCTGAATTAAATTAGAGTGAATGTGGTGTATTTCCTCCCGTCTTCATTTAAACCACTCAGTGTTAGAGAAGCTGGAGGCCACATGTCACTGTCACATTCTATTATAAAATTTTCCGGGGTTTTGCTGATTTTGTCCGTGTCTTATCTGTTTTCTTCAGCCTTCCTCCGCACTGTCCGGTTATGTCTCCGCGTGTGCGTACTCTCCCTCCAACCAGTACGGAGTGTACAGCGGGGCAGCAGGCGGATACGTGGCCCCGGGACACCACCACTGGCAGCCGCAGAGTCCGGCCCTGTCGCACCCAGGCGGCGGGATGGGCATGCACGCGGGGGATATCCACTCACCGATGAACTTCAAGCACCAGGCCCGAGAAGGTAGGGACCACGATTTAATTTGGAAACTGGTGACAGATGTGTCCAATCCTTTAAAACAAAACATGAACACTGGGGTGCTGTTGCTTTAAATTATATTTGGTGTATAAAATATATTTTCCCGATATTTATTCCAATAATCCAATGAAGTGTCTAAAAAACCCAGCAAATGTTCCCCAAACTATTTTTGTTGATTGTTTTTCGTTACCATCAGTCAATCAGATACTCAATTTGTATTTCATTTGTTTTTGATATTTTAATATTCTTAAGATATTCTCACATTTGTAAATTATAAAACAGAGTGTTAGACTATTTACTTCGATCAATTCATTATGACAACTTTTGGCAATCCCTTTTTATCAAGTTATTCCCGCAGCCTCTCTCCCTCCTTTTGCACGCACACGCTTTCGCAATAAGCAACGACCGCAACGAGTGTAAACATTTACCAAACCCCAAATGAAGCCTAATTATATGTCAGTTATTAAATATTGACCTACCAGACTCGGCATGCGAGGTGGTCCATGGGGACATTTTTACGCATTATACATAGAATGGAAGAGAAGCCTTTTTGAGACTGCTTGTTAATAATCACGTTTTTTCTGATAGAGCGGAGCTTAACTTTTTAGAACTTGTAGGAAAATGAATCTGCTTCTATCTCTGGGAGTGAACACAGATTTTAATGTCTTATTTGGGTTTTGCAGGAGACAGAAAACAGCCCACTCCTCTGAGCAAGCAGCAGCAGCAGCAGCTACAGCAGCAGCAGCAACACGAAGACTTGAACAGTGTGCATGGACTCAGTCTCCCTACCTCATCATCATAACCGGGATTTATACCACCTTAATAACGAGACCGAATTAAACTGAACTAATTTCAACAAATCCAACAGTAAGTCTGAACACTAACGGCTTGTTTCCCGAGTGTTTGCAGTTTAGTCAAACACAGGCCCATTCACGTTCATTGTGGGTGCAGTGACCGACCTTCCTCGCTACATGAATGTAAGCTGTTTGTTCTTTTGAACACTTCATATTGCTATTCTCTCATGGAGACTGCAGGATCTTTTTTTTGTTGGAGAATACATTTTTTATTCCAACCTGTCATTGATGTTTTATTATATAAACCAAGGGCTATTCTGTAATCTGTCGTATATAATATTATCTTAATTTGTGACCATGATCTCGATGCTATACAGTGACGATGTGAACAAAGAGATACAATGTTTAAATGTAAAATATTTGCCAAAGCTTTAATTATATATTTTTATAATTTCCTTGTAAATATTAACTAAATAAAGGCTTTCTTAAATGCCATTTGTTGTTCATATTGTTGATTCATATATCGTTGGTTATAGCCTATCATTGAGGTTAGGTTTTGATGATGTCCGTTTAAAGAAACAGAAATAACATAGAAAACATTAAACTACAGTTAGGCTACTGTAACTCCAGAAGCGATGTTTGACGATTTCTTAAAGGTTTTCCTTACTTCATAAAAGTAAGTGACATAATTTATCTGAATGAAAGTTCGATTTTGTAAGGAATAATGTCTTTCTTTTAATCTAAAACTGGTTTAATAATGCAGTGAATTCGTCCTATAATTAGCGAGATTTTTGCACAACTTTTGATCCTGAGTGCATTTCAATATATTGGGTAATTTTTCTCATTACTTACTGTGAAAAGTAATATCTTGACTCAGGTGTTACCACAGCTAAACAGACTGGGCGCCTCTGCTGATGCTATCTCTCTTGTAAATGATACCTGCCATTATGGAAGTCAGAGATGTGATCGTGCACGTTAATGAACGATGTGCACGAGAGCAGCTGCCTGTCCAAATCCACCCACATGCAGCAGCAGGGTTATGTTTTTTCCCGTATATAAATTATGAGTATTTTTCCATACAGGCCTAAACTGTTCTCACACATGTTTAGTCCTGTGCTCTAACGACACATTTGGATCCCTTCAATACCCATGCTCTGTTATGTGGCTTTAATTCGACAAATTAACTCTTTGGAAAAAATCTCATAAATAAATACAAATATATAGTTTTATCACAAATAGACTGAATATTTATTTTGTTGAAGTAATACCTTTATTGATTTCCTTTTGATCAACATGAGAAGCCGAATATACAAATAAGTTTAGTTTCTCTTGCATTTGAAGTTACAGTTAACCTTTTGATTGACATTTTACCCAAATTGTGAACCAAAATAAAAATAAAATGTCAATACATAAACGCAATATCTACCCAATGGGAACAAAGTTAATAAAGTTAATACATTTGTCAAATATTTTATAGAAGTTAATGTGCTTCTTTCCATTTAACATAATTTGTGTGATTGAAATGAACTCAGATGATGCTCCACTTCTCCAAGGTGACTTGATGATGGTGAGGTCAGGGGGATATTAGCAGCATGGTTTGTTCGGTGAGGATCCAGTAGTTTAGACAATTCTGTGTTTTTGTAACAGCACCTTCAGTGTAAAGCGGAAGTAAAGTATTTAGTGGTTGTACTTTTTGCCTTTGAAAGACACAATAAACAATTGATTTAATTTACATTTTGGGTGTCAGGAGACCTTTATGAATTAAACCAAATGCTAAAGAACACTGTGTGCATTTAGACAAATAAATACTGTGACTTGTTTCCCACTGATCATGGTTCATTCTCGAGATTATTGAGTTTATATATTCAATGTTATCAATGATTGATCAGCCAGGTCAGCTTTAAGGTTTTAACACTTTTTAAAAGTGCCAGTCAATTTAAAGAAAAATTAACCCCTGCATTTATATTAAGATAAGTATTAAAAAATACAAAAAAGGGTTTTGAAATATGGACATACATTGCTTCTGATATTTGCAAACCATACTTCATCCCAAACTAAATGAGCATACGTGTAAGGGTCACTGACTTTATTGATTTAAAGATAATGTATTTATGTTTGGATTCTGGTTTCTTGATTATATCGATGAAAACCAACATAGAACAGAACAAAAATATGTTTCCAAAAGGGGAATCAATTATTATTTTAATATATGTGTTTTTACCAAACTATAGAATTTGTTTTGTTATGTTTGGCCTATAAATTCCTTATTTAGTGATCTTCAAATGTCCCGTGCAATCATGACATTGAAGGTGCAGCCATATCAAAATTGCTTTTAGGTCAGCAGTGACTTGATTGATATGAAAAACACCTCTAAAGAGGGATCATAAAAAGTGGAAGTAAGTTATCCACAAGGTTCTACTACGATGCTTAAAACAAAAGACAAAGCATTTATGTGTCATACCCATCAGTTTGAATAGCAGGCATTAGGATACACACTGGATTTTGGTTGCTTTCTTGGCTCAACTTTGCAGCCGTTGATTCCTTTCCCCCTTTTTGCAGCAAGATCCCATGTGACTCAGTATATCCAAACATTAAGATGGCCTATGAGTACACACGCTCCCTGACTGGAGTCGATCTGTTTTCCCGGATACCACTTGGGGTTCAGAAAACACTCCTTCATGGTGGCGGGGTTACTTCCTGCGGGACCTATGGTCATCAATCAGGGCCGCAAAGTGATACCCCCCACTGCGTCTTCTGCAGAGCCTCTGTGTCCGAGGGGCAGCAGGTGGGCTCGTTGTTTCCTATTGAAACAGAGCTCAAAAACATAATATTTCTTTAATTTTAATGTGTGTGCTTTGAGACGGGTACAATGAGACATTTTCTAGTGAGGCAACGTTTTTTATCCCACAAACCAGGATTCAATGTGTGTGTATTTTGAACAATAGTTCTAATAGTTCCCACTGAGCCCTTTTTTTAATACATTTCTAAGGAAGTTGTGAATTCATAAGGATAAATACCCACACTATTTATACATACAACTATTTCAATACCCTTTGAATGTCTCTATAATTTATTATCCAATGTTTATTGTTAATATTTCCTGGTGTCCAGTGCAATGGATGTATTTTGGAGTAAGGATTGGATCCAATAGACTGGGAAATTAATCTTTATTAGATATAACCATATATTTTAGCAAAAAAATAAATATATAATTGAATAATCTTAAAAATAATCCCTGTTTTAGGTAATGGAGGCACAAGGAGACATTTTGCACTGTAACTGCCAGACTTTCATAAAAGTACTGAAACACAGAAGTGTATATGCCCAGACTTAAACACAGTGCTCTGATCTGCAGGTTCTTGAGAGAGCTACCTCTGCAACTTAAACATGAAAGGATTCTCAAATGCCACAAGTGTAAACAGACACTTGGCGAGATGGATAGGAGACCAGGCCTCCTTGATCCTAATGGATATGATATTAGGCAGTATTAAAAATCAGAGCAGAGGTGAAATGGTGAGAGATTCTTGAAAAAGTACTATCCTATCTCCAACAATTCATCAATGTCTGCCCTGTGTACTGGAAGAATTGAGTGTTACATAAAGACCAAAGTTCAGTTTATGTGTTAGACACTTTGCTGGGTATGATTTAAAACATTTTACATTATCTGTCATTTTTGTCAAGAGGGAAACTATAGACTGGCCAGGATTCAATCACTCACTCACTTCTCTGCATTCACATGAATCAAAGTCAACAACAGATCATCTCAGGACATGGCGACATGGCTGGCCAGACAGGTCTTGGAAAAAGAAAAGAAAGACACACGAAAAAAACCTTTTAAAAAGAGAGTGGCAAGCTGGCAAACAGTCAAATTCTAAAGAGAAAGTCAGAAGCTCTCACGTCTGAAATCTCGAATGAATTCTCTTTCCATGGAAAAGTTTTGCATGCAAACATGTGCGATGCTGAAACATGTGCTTGTCGTGGCTTTTGGCAAGCAGGATATCATCTTTTGAGAAATGGAGCCATGAATCATAGCTGCCAGCTTCATGTTTACATTGTTTGACAGATTTTGATGCACAACTGATGAACAGTGAACAATAAATCAGGTAGAAAAAATTATACAAGCTCACCAACATTTGACAAAAGCAGCAAAAGAAGATAGATATTGTTATTGGACCTATTTGTAAGTGATGCATTCACTTTTTAGCACCCTAAACTTAAACACCGAAGCAGTGGGTTCGCAGCGATGTCATCCTTGTAATGAAATCACCATTGAATTTTCTTCTTCTTTTTCTTTTTTTTCCGCTGACTGTCCACAGGATTTCCAAGCAGGCAGTTACAGCTCTGTAGTCTTGAGGATGATAAATGTCTCCCTCCCATGTTCTTACTTGCTTGGCCAACTCACCACATCAACCAGACGCTCTAAAAGCAAAAGGGACAGAGACATGATGATGACATTTGGCTTTCTAAATGAAAACGTATCATTTCACATGCTCTCAGGAGATTCCAGCGCTGTTTTCGGTCCTCGAAGGATACAGCAATAAAGAGAACAACCACAGGATGGGATGAACTGCAGTGCCCAGTTTGATTATTGTATACCAATGACCTAAAGAGCATGAAATTATGTTTGCAAATCAAATTATCTCCTTGAAGATACTGGCATGAAAGCAGGCATATTATTTTTTTAAAGAATGCTTGTAATTTGTGTACATGCAAATATCAACATCTATTGTCGGTTCTTTACTGGAAAGGCTAAACTTGCATTATGGAAATTTGTCAGCAGTTTTGTAGTCAAAGTCTATTTTTGTGAGACGGACAGAGAGACAGTCCTCCGTGCAGGAAGATCCTCTCCAATTTGTGGAGAATATAGAATTAATGTTCTGCCCTACTGCCCATCTGTGACTTATTTAAAGTGTGCTGAAACATATACTGTGCTAAATGTTGCCACACACATGCCAAAGGCAACCAGTAGAGACAAAATATGTGGAGTTGGATTTAAGGGTTGCCTTCA